TGGATAAAATAAACTGAAATGAGCATTTTACTGCAGATGTTAGAGCTAGGAAGGTGACAATGGTGGCCAGTTATCCTTTGCCCATCTTCATGGAATTGTATTAATATAATATTTGCCTGGAGACACAATGTAATGTAAAACTGGGCCCTTCAACTGTGATACGATCAGCAGATGTACTCAGACCCGGGAATTCTCAGCAGGAAAGCCACAGCATGGAATCAAGCGGTATTCCTCCTGCAGGAAATCTGGGAAAACCAGGTGGCCCTCAGCACCTCTCCTCACAGATGCCAAGCGCTTTGCTGAAGGGTACAGGACAGTCGTTCTTTTTATTTCTCACTGGTACGACAGATGCCACACCCAGAGTCCACAGCTGCCTGGCTCTGGTTTTGACCCTGAGCTGAAACGTCTCACCAGTGTCTGAGCCTCATGTTCCCATCTGCCTCCTGTCCCTTGTGAAGCCAGTCTCTGGTTTGCGTTACTCACCTGCAGTGTGGGGTGTAGACAGGGAAGAGCATGGCCTCACCTGGCCCGAGACAAACCCGGGCACTGTCCTCTGCCAGCAGCCTGGGTGCCCGCAGGAGCACCTGCTAGCTGTCTGAAGCCTCAGCTAGTGTTTAGCTGAAACAACTCCAGCAAGGCAGGGCCCACCTGACGGTCCTGAAAATGATGGGGACACCGGACACCTATCTGCTTCGGACAGTGAGCCCTTCACAGGGAATTGGGATCTTTCATTTAAGACTGGGCAGCGGGGATACAAAACACAGAAAATTATGCCAGGACAGTGGATCACTGACACTGGAAATGCACGAGCACCCAGAGGGTCTATGAAAAGTGCTCCTGGACAGGCACAGTGGCTCACACCTGTAATCACAGCACTTTGGGAGGCTGAGGTGGGCGGACCACCTGAGGTCAGGAGTTCAAGACCAGCCTGGCCAACAATGATGAAACCCCACCTCTACTCTAAATATAAAAACTAGCTGGGTGTGGTGGCATGCGCCTGTAGTCCCAGCTACTCGGGAGGCTGACGCAGAAGAATCACTTGAGCCTGGGAGGTAAAGGTTGCAGTGAGCCAGGATCACACCATTGCACTCCAGCCTACAGGGGCTACGGACTAGTCTATCCTCTCCTGTGGCCTCAGGCACATGACTGAGCTCTAAGCCATGGCTTCTTCATGAATACGCTGGGAATAATCAGTATTGGTGGGCTCACGGGGTTGCTTTAGAGCTTATATGATGAAATAAACACGGAAATCATTCATACACATATAAGTCCTGAAAACACTGGCTATACCTATGAATTGCAGAGGGCATTTTTCCTACCCAATTATCAGAAGGACTCTGCTTTCTTGAAGCCATGGAGGGACAGTACAGGTTAGGGCAAGATTTGATTCTGTGGCCTCCTGAGAACCATGTGAATTCTGTGCCTGAAGTACAAATCTGGAAAAGGAGGTGTGAGGCAACCCATCACTTTCTAGAGTTCGGGATTCCCCCCATGGGGAGGGCAGGCAGGCCTCAGGGAGCTCTGGAGTTCGGGATTCCCCGTGTGGGGGGTGCAGGCCTGGGGGAGCTCTGCACAGTGCAGGAAGCAGGGAATGGGGTGCACTGGGCTGTCGTTTGGGTTTTGACACTGCCCAAAGTCTCTCCCCCAAGAAGGAAACAGAACTCTGTCAATCACTGATCACCGGTGACTGCACTTTGATCAAGCAGATGAGAACTTAAAAGTAATTCCCCTGGCACTGTCATCCCCTATGACGTCTTCTTCCATGAAAAAGGCTTTCGCATTCTTTGATTTCATAAAAGCAAACTTGCAGAGAACAAGCTTCCGTGGCACTTAAAAAGTCTTAACTACTAGCATTTTTTTTTAAAGGTAGAAATCATTTTCTCCCCACCTCAGGAAAACAGATGCATCACCACAAACGTATTCTCCAAAATCAGTTGTAAACTTATGTTTTACAAATTAGACAGCATTTTTTCACACATCCTGAGCTGTTACACAAAAGCAATTATGAGTCCTCAATTCCAGGCTCGAGAATTCCACTTGGGTTTATCTGGATCAAGGTCACTGCCAGGCCAGCTACCCGCCGAGATTCCAGACCGCACCCTTTCTGAGGGCCTCTCCTTCCTGAGTGTCGTCAGCAAGAGGTTACGCCAGAGGTAATTTTCCCTTGAAATTACACAACCTCATCCACTTGAAACGGAGACTAAGCCGTCACCCCCCCCTCTGTGAAGAGCGAAGACCAGCCAACTCGAGCGAGTCTGTGAGAGCGGAGCCCCGCTCGGTCCTCGGAAGCGGAGATGAAAGGCTTCCACGTGCTCTCCTGGCCCCGAGGGCCCTCCACCTGGCTCAGGCCGCTCCCGAGAGCCTGTTGACCCGTCTGTGAGTTCCTGCTCGAGGGCTTCCTGGTAGGAAAAACCCTTACAGCTCTGAAGAGGCCCTGGAAACCAGCAATAAGCCCACAAAACCCATCCTGACAACCCCCTCTGTGCAGGACTTCCCGGTCGGAAACCGAAGTGGCCTTGCGGGGCTGCAGTCCCACCGGCAGCAGTGGAGAGGAAGGGCCCAGCCCAGTGGGAGAGAGGGCGGCGCAGAGCCAGGGCGCGGGGTGGGGGGGGGCGGCCGAAGCCACCAGGGCCACCGTCTGCGGGGACGTTCGAAGCAGACAGTCGGAAAATGACAGAACTTGAATGACACAGCGAAGGAGGCAGAAGTGGCGGGCAGACATCGCCACGCTCCGTTACCTCCTCCGAAACTGCCCTCGTCCTCCTGCCAGCCGCCCCCCAGCCCCCGCCAGGTGGACCGGGACCCTCCTCTGCGCCGCGATCAAGCTCTGCCACTGCTGCTGGCTTCCTCCCTGTGGCCCCGCACGGCACCCTCCACATCTGCAGGGAGAACCAGGCATGTGTGGCTGTCGGGCAAGTCTGCCCCAAGAAGGGAGAAGCCAGCTCCTGGGGGTGGGGGGCGTGGGCCGGGTGATGCCTTCGTGGCCCCCATCACGGCTCGCAGCGCCCGTCACCTGTATCCCGGAGTCCCGCCCTAGAGCCCGCAGGGGCACCACACATTGACGCTGGGTGCTTCCTGCTTCCCTGCACCTTTGTGCTGCGAAAGCTGAGCTCAAAGGAGCACATCTAGGATTCGTTTCACCTAGGATTCGAGCACGTCTAGGAGGGTGGCGGAGGTGCACATTAGCTTGGAAACCATCTTCGGCGAGCTCTGCCTGAGACTGCGCTGACTTGATAACTTTACCAACGTTACCAGGGCAGAGACGGCATTTTGGATGTGATTTCTCATAATACACTTCTTCCATGAATCATGACTGGGAAAACACCCATATTTATCTGATTGGACTTTGTTTTTGAGCACTTATATGTCTTGTTTCTAGAGATTAAAGCTATTAAAATTTTTTGTAATCCACAGTTACAAATTAAATAATTCCATAAAAAGGCTTTGAAAAGGTGATCTTTGTTGTACAATATTTAAAAAAATGTGCAACTCTTTGAGAGCACCTAAATAATAACCAAAGGAGTCTATATGCCAGGACGCTTGAGTGTGAATTAAGTAGACTTAGCACAGGGGTCTACACGTCAGGATGCCTGGATGTGAATTAAGTAGGTTTTCACAGGGTCTACACATCAGGATACCCGGTGTGAATTAAGTAGGTCTACACAGAGTCTACATGTCAGGACATCTGGTGTGAATTAAGTGTGTCTATCACAGGGGTCTACACGTCAGAATACCTGGTGTGGATTAAGTAGGTCTACACAGGGTCTACAGGTCAGGACACCTGGTGTGAATTAAGTGTGTCTATCACAGGGGTCTACACGTCAGAATACCTGGTGTGAATTAAGTAGGTCTACACAGGGGTGTATATATCAGGACACCCAGTGTGAATTAAGTAGGTCTTCGCAGGGTCTACACATCAGGACTCCTGGTGTGAATTAAGTAGGTCTACACAGGGGTTTACATTCCAGGATGCCCAGTGTGGATTAACTAGGTCTATCACAGGGGTCTATACATCAGGACAGTCAGTGTGAATTGAGCAGGTCTACACAGGGTCTACAGGTCAGGACGCCAGGTGTGAATTAAGTAGGTCTACACATCAGGACACCCAGTGTGAATTAAGTAGGTCTATCACAGGGGTCTATACATCAGGACCCTCAGTGTGAATTGAGCAGGTCTCCACAGGAGTTGACATGTCAAGATGCCCAGTGTGAATTAAGCACGTCTAGAATGTCAGGACACACGTGTGAATTCTGTGGCTGCCTCACGTGTCCACATGTGCAGCCAGCCATGAGTGCGCCCGTGTTTAGCCTCGTCCACTGTGAAGGAGAATGAAGCTAAAAGGAGGCGTCTGCACACAGGCTCATGCGTTCTACACTATCTGGAAAGCACCGTCTGCCCCACTTTTAATGGCAGCTGCTAAATTTCCAGCCTATTCTTAAGACCCGTTTCCTCGTCACTCTCTGAATGTGGGAAATGTGTGTGCACGTCCACGCTCCCGTCCACGGAGAGAAACATGCTTCATTTCGACTGTGGCACTGTGCTCACCTCGTCTACGCTTTGCCTTGGCTGTACGTCACGAACCAGCTCAAAGATATGCCCCAGGCTTTGCTGTCCGGGGTGGCTGGTATCATTTCCATCCTACCAGCACTGAGACTCTGGCCAGGGTGGCCCATGACAAGCATGCAGCTAGGCGCCTCAGAAGTGGGAGCTGGGTAGGGTTTGAATCCTGGACGTGAGACCTGTACTGCCTCTGTGACATGGTCGCCCAAGAATAGAGACACCGTGATGTGAGGCCTGGCCAGGGGAAAGCCTCCTGTGGACAGTCATCGGGAGAGCAAGTCCCATGCCCTTGGTAAGGCTCTGATCCGAAACCCTTGCTGGGGTGCTGGTGGCCGTGACAGCAGGGCCAGGAGCAGAGCTGGTTTCTGAGACCGAGAAGCACTAACACCCCCAGGCAGCTGCTCTAGGGGCTCACGGACCCTCAGACCCAAGACAGTTACCTTGGAGGAGACGATCCTGTTGTCTGGGTACCTCTGTGGGATGTAGGCCTCTGCGCCCGGAGGTGGCTCCCTGTGCCCCACGTAGATGGTCCTGCTGTCCACCCAGTTCTCTTCTCCTGCACACTGGGGAAGGAGAGCAACGTCAGGCAGCTGCCTCAGAACCCGCATGCCAAGGCTCCTCCCCAGAGCAAACCTGCTGCTGAGCGCCTCGTTCAGGGCTGGGGGAGACACGGGCCCCAGTGCCCCGGCCCCCGCCACCCCCCAGTCGCACACAGCCCTCAGGGGCCAAGGCCTTCAGGTGAGCACCAGGAGGCGTGGTGCTCCCGTGAGAGCCACACAGTGAACACCAAAGCTGACTGCCAGTGGAAACGGCACAGGGTGTGACTCGAGAACAGACACCATGAAATCAGAAGGCTTCCAAAGGGGAAGAGACAGTGAAGTTGAGGCAGAAGGCGGGACTCAACTCCAGGCGGGGGGCTTGGACACCAGACCAGATAGAGGACTAGTGAAAACAGGGCTGGGGTAGAGGCAGCTTTCCACAGGGCACGCCCCGTGTGCCTGTCAGTTTACCATTGCCATGGCAACAGCCGGGAGCTGCCCCCCACTTTCCGTGGCAATGACCCAACTGCCTAGAAATTACTATTCTTCCCCCTGGAAATTTCTGCATAAACCACCCCTTAAGCTGCATGCAATTAGAAACGGGTACACGTGTGGCCGCAGCACCGCCCTGAGCTGCTCCTCTCTGCCTGTGGGGCACCCTGCTCTGCAGGGGCAGTCACAGAGCTGTGGCACGGCCTCTTGAATAACGCTGCCTTCTTCCACCTCCTGCTTGCCCTGGAACAGCACTAACTGCCATCCCAGACTCAAAGCCAGGTAGGCAGTGCCACCTCACTGCCCTGGCCATGCCACAGCCTGGCTGCCCCTCCCCACACAGACAGGCCCTCCTCCTCCGGGACGGAGCCTCCCTGCCGCCTCTGTTTTGTGGCGAAGCCAACAAACCTAAGGGATGTGGACTTTAAAAGCGTCCTGAGAGCTTCAGAATAAACTGCTGCCTATAAAGGCCAAGAAAAGTCCCTGGCTCCTTTCTTCTTTCAGAACACAGCCAAACAGATGCTTCTCATTCTCATGGAACCAGGATATTGCACTGAATAAGCATATAAGTGAACCAGAAAAAGAAAACCATATAGATATCTTTTAATACAAAAGTAAAAATCCTAGAAACTTTCTTCTAGCTTCAAAGGCAACATCTGAATTTTGGGAGTGGCCAGGAGCCCAGACACTGGCTCTGAAAGCTGAACGCTTCCCTGGAGCGCTGTGGCTGTGCCCACACCACAGTGAGCCCATGCCACGGTGAGCCCACGCCATGGCAAGCCCGTGCTTCCGGGCCGCTTCCAGCCAGCAACAAAGGGACCCTGTCTCAGGGAGGCACGTTCAGGATGAACTGAGGAAGTCCAATCCACACTCTCCACACTGCCGCGCAGACACTTATTAAATAATCACATTAAACAGCTCACATACGGCGCTCCAGTGTAGTGCCATTTACACTGACACTACTGGGTTGTGGGAAGGACCGTTTTTGTCTGTGCTATGACATCAGAAAATAAATCACCTGCCTACATGCGGTGGGACTTCCTAAACCCTCCAAACCGGTAAAACCCGCTTGAGATGAGGCGCACACACGTTCGATGACAGCCACATCGCGCGGGACACGCCACCTCGCAGGTGTTCCCTGGGCTGTGGGGACGGGAGGGGCCCTTGAGGCTGCTTTCTGATTCCTGGCTTTACCCACGGGCTACGACCCAGTGGCCCAAAACTGAACGCTGATGCCGGGAAGCTCCGTCACCACCGGCCCCCTTGCCTGCCAGCCCCGTCAGCACAGCAGACACCAGCCTGGGTAAGGAAAGGACTCGAGGCCACGAGGTCACTCAGACAGCCTCACCCAGGGCATCGGGAAGGTCAGAAACCGAAGTGTCTCTTCAGGTTCACACTTCAAAGGGAGCTCTTTGTATTGTATTCTCCACAAATGTCCAAATTCTAAGACTAAGCTGCCCAAAAGCAACAGAGACAACCACACACGGGACCCCCCAGAGAGTGCAGACATGGTCGCAAACGTGGCAGTGCCTCGGACAGGGCGCCCGGTCGCTGCCACACACTGGCTGCATCACGCCACGTTTCTGTCAAGCGTCATCAGCAGCGACACGAAGGGGTTAGGAGAGCTAACCTTCACGGTCCTCTCAGCCCTGACGCTCTGGTTCTGTTCAGTGACAATGAAAACAGACTCAGGAGCCCAATCATGTAACTCCTGAACCTCGCTTGTCTTGAACCCAAGGCCACCTGCGCTGTGCATAAATGGGGACAGGGCACGGTGGCTCACACCTGTAATCCCAGCACTTTGGGAGGCCACGGCAGGTTGATCGTTTGAGGCCAGGAGTTCAAGACCAGCACAGCGAAGATGGCGAAACCCCATTTCTACTTAAAAAAAAAAAAAAAATTCGCGGAGTGTGGGGGCGCCTGTGGTCCAGCTCCTTGGGAAGCTGAGGGAGGAGAAGTGCTTGAACCCGGGAGGCGGGGCTGCAGGGACAAGATGGCACCACTGCACTCCAGCTTGGATGACAGAGCCAGACGTTGTATCAAAACAAAACAAAACAAAACAAAAAAGGGGTCACATCACGTGGAGCCGTTTTCAGGATTCAGAGTAAAGACCCGAGGAGGCAGGAAGCTCTCCAGGGCGGGGGGACGGGGACCCCGGCCTGCTTCTCCTCGTTCCCAGGCAGGACCCGTGACACGGCTCAGCCAGCCCCACGCGACTCCTCCCGGCCGTCCCAGCCGCGGCCAGAGGCTTCCATCAGCGAGCAAAGCGGAAACCAGGCGCCAGACTGTCTCTGTCAATCCGCAGGCTTCCTAACGACTCAGTGGCAACCCAGCTGTCCTCCTCACTGCACTGAGAAAGCCACGTGGCCTGTCCCCCGGTCGGCTCAAGTTCCGACTGAAGTCAAAATCTACACCGTGCTGATGGGACCGACCGAAAGACGCAAACTGACCAAGGGAACCATCTCGAGTGACACCCGGAGGACGGGAAAAATTCGGCAAAGGGGTCACAGCTGCACTGTTCACCAAAGACAGAAGTGGCCGCCTCCCAACGCAGGTCCACTGATGAAGGGTGTTAATCAGCCACGGGAAGGAAGGAAGGCAGCGCGCGTGGGGCCAGGAAGCACGTCCCGCGCGTGCAGCTAAGCCGCCACTCCAACAACCAAACCCGAAGCACGATCCGTATTTTCTGAGGCAGACACCATGAAGAGACATCCCACTACTCACATTATTTACTAATACACGTCCCACGAACTGGAAAACTTGTGTGCCCTGCAATTACCCCATACACCAGCGGGTAGCCCTGCACGTGGTGACTCCCCACATACCTTGAAGCATGCCCTTCAGAAAACATACTTACACTAATACAGCAGTCAGTTAAATTTCAAACCTACATAAGCCCGCCACTAAATATTTATTTAAGCATTTATCGAGGTAATGTAGCTTAATATTTAAAGCGAGATGCTGAAAATGTCTAGACGGGTAATCCAGAAACCTAACAGGAATGTTGGCATCAAATGATATCACTCATCCGCACAACTATCACCATCAAACTTGCTTGGATTTTCAGCTAGTCTTTGGTTCAATGGTTCAATGACTCAAGGGATTTTCTTTACTACCTTAGAGGAAAAAGTCACTCTTTTTTTTTCTTTTTAATGGGATGAAGTTTTCTCTCATCACTCAGGCTGGAGTGCGAATAGCACGATCTTGGCTCACTGCAACCTCTGCCTCCGGGTTCAAGCGATTCTCCCGCCTCAGCCTCCCTAGTAGCTAGGATTACAGGCGTGCGCCACCACACCCTGCTAATTTTGTGTTTTTAGTAGAGATGGGGTTTCACCATGTTGGCCAGGCTGGTCTCGAACTCCTCAGGTAATCTGCCTGCCTTGGCCTCCCAAAGTGCTGGGATTACAGGCGTGCGCCACCGCACCCAGCTGGACAAGTCATTCTTACATGCTGAACTGCTTCCCTGTTTCAGTCCTCCACGTAAATTCTAGAAACTTAATATCTAAAGCTCTTCCTGAAAATCTCCTAGGAAGTGAAAATGGTTTATTTTTTAACAAATAAGTAATTAACTGCTGTTATTTTTTTAGAGATGGGGTATTGCTGTGCCGTCCAGGCTGGGGTGCCATGGCTCTTCACTGAGGCAGCCGTTCACAGGCACAGTTAGAGTGCACCATAGCCTTGAACTCCTGGACTCAAGCAATCCTCCCTGCTTGGCCTCCAAAGCACTGAGACTGCAGGCATGCTGCCACATCCCAAATTCCCTCAGCTTAAAATGGGAACGTTTCACAGGCACAGTTAGAGTGCACCATAGCCTTGAACTCCTGGACTCAAGCAATCCTCCCTGCTTGGCCTCCAAAGCACTGAGACTGCAGGCATGCTGCCACATCCCAAATTCCCTCAGCTTAAAATGGGAACGTTTCCTGCTACCTCAGTGTTTTACAGCTAACTTTGAAGAGTTAGAAGGTTCTGGCCCTGTTGCCATTTCTTACACAATGTAACTGCATGGGAGATGGAGTTTGCAGGGGCTTTCAAAGCTGCTGACCCGGACCACCTCCTCTCACGAAGCAGCTCAGCTCAGCCAACCTTTGCCCACCGCACCTCACACACTTCTGAGAGGCACAGGGAGGCCACACAGGCTCACCAGCTTTCTGTCCACCACATCAGCAGCTCACCTGGCCACTAAGAAAGACAGTTTTGCAAAAGGCCTGTGTGGTATGATGCTAAACATGCCCATCTGTCTCGTTTCCACAACTCACACAGAAGACTGTGGAAGGAAGAACAGGGAGGAGTGTTACGGGGCTGCGGAAACAGGAAGATGGACCCAGCGTGCCTTCCAGGGCACTCCCAGGACTCTCCGTGCAGGGCACCCCAAGAGGACCCCCGAGAAGAATTCCACGTCTGGAGTTGGAGGAGACAGGTGTGGTGAGCGGCATGTGGGGAAGAGGGGCGGGGCTTCCCCGCGGCACGGGGCCCACGGGGGAGGAAGTCTCACATCCCTTCTCCTGATATGTGTGCTCTGGACACAGCACTGT